TAGAACGAAGTCGAAGGCTTTGCTTGATTCGCTCCAGGTCCATAGCGCTGGATCCTACTTGAGGGTGGAATCGTCCAGCTTATCCAACGACGGATAGACCACGAAGAGAGAGGCAAGCAACGACGACCGGAGAGATGAACAAGGACATTCTAGAGAACAGAAGCTATCACGACAAGCAGATGTCCAGGACCGCCGGGAGGCAATGGAGGCAAAAAGCAGGTGTGATGTGTGAGGTTGTGAGGAGCGGTGGTCTGAGGAGTCAGTAGCTCTGGTGGTGCTGGTGGCTCTTCTTGCCTGCAGCTCCGATTCGCGAAGGGCAGCCAGATGACGGTGAACAACCATTGTCAATCAATGCCAGATGGACGATGGATGGCGATCTGTTGCAGCCCGAGACGATCCAGCACATCAGCATCACCGACGAATCAATCTCATGCAATTAAGGCAGGGCACTGGGACGCTTCCACATCGGGCCACGCTGCACCCGTCAGACCGCTGAAGTGGACGGCGAGACGGGTTGGACGGGCCATGTGGTGCAAAGGGATCAAAGTCTCGCTCGTCATGACTTTGGGGCGCTGGCTCCACTAGGCTGGGCCATGGGGGCCCTGGTCAACCGAGGCCGGTGATGCTTGGGGGCCAACAACATCCATTTTCGAGGAGCGACCTACGCACCGTGCACACTCTTACCGAGCAGACTGGATTCTATCTCGAGCCCCACGTCTATTATATCTTGTCTCTATCGCACCCTCTCTTTCAACCCTCTACCGTTCGCCTGAGGCTTCTCCTGTTCATGGAAGCTCGGCGGCCCATACCCGGGTATGGGCAAAAACTTTCCAACCTGTGCCTGGTATACCTGGTATTCAGGATACTTTCCCGAAGACAAGAGCTCTGTGAGCCAGGTGCTGGATTGGAAAAGGAGCAGATAGGCTGCCGCTCCAATTCCGCTCCAATTGTACAAGGTCCCCGTTGCTAGGCATGACCACAGGTATAGGGTGACCCAGACGCCTTGCTCTGCTGCGAAATTCGGGTGTCGCGAATAGGCAAACAAGCCTGTGGAGAGGAAACCACGGTCCAGGTCTGCTCGTTCCCAGCCAGGTGGTACTTTGGCCGTTTTGTGGTACTCGACTTTGGCCGCATGGTAGTTCCACTGCTGCTGGTCTGCCACGTATGATATGGCGATAAAAGTCATCATGGCGGCAGCTGCAACAGCATCGACCATATTCCAGGACCGAATAGGACCGTCATAGGTTGCCAGGCGTTCAGTTAGCAGGAGTACGTAGGCCGGAGCCGTGATGCAGACGAGGAGCAGGGACTGTGCCAGTGAGATGAACAAGACATTGAAGAGGAACATCAAGGCAGGCCCGGCATAGTCCTTAACAGTGGCCCATCGATAATCCTCGCTGCCAATCGAATATCCTCCCTTTCGATAGTAATTGTAAGTCAATCGGGCCTACCGCAACGTTAGCATGACATATCGAAAAGTCAGTTCCACTCCTACACTCCATATTGAGGTGACGACACAAAGGACATCCAGTCTCGCCGTATGCACTCCAGCAAGGTGGGCAAAGGCTGCATAGTGCAGGTTATAGACGACTGGCAGTATTGACCACACCCGGTCTACTTGGGAGTAGTTCTTGTTTACTTCGGAGACCAACAAGAAGATGGGTGCCAGGCCAAAGCCAAAAGCAATGGCGGTGATCAGAGGGTTCGTATCGAGGTACAACTGTGTCAAGGCTGTAAAGTTGGCGGCGGGTGAGAAGAGGATATCGGGGAGATCTGCAAGTTGGAAGAGATAAGAGGCAACTGTGCGATTGTAGTCGGCGCATTCAAGCAGGCTGTATACAACGGGTAAAGCCATGTTTGTAGTTGTGAAGGCAGAGAGTGTAATGGAGGAGAGGACTTAGAAAAAGGAGGGAAGAACAGGAGCTGGTGATGAACCGCAATGCTGAGTGTAGACAGGTGAGACCCGAATGTAATGACGTAATAACCGTTCTTCTCTCGTATTGAGCTTTTCATCACGTGCCCCAAGTTTCACACGTAGGTCACGGCCAGTTTCATCTTAATAGTCAGTGTCTCGTACTGCAGCACCCATTGGGGCTATGTACTTAGGTACTAGGTAGGTAGGAACCGGGGTAGCCACCCTCTACTACTGCCACCACTGCTACCAGTAGGTACATGGGTACATAGCCAGTACTCGTAGGCACCAGCTCTACGGCCCGTGCCTGCTGTCGCCTCATTGACGAATCGGTCCCCTCGAGGCGCCTTCGCCACCGTTTCAGACGCGTCGGCTCATCCTGCTTGGTGTTTTTCCTTCAGCCACCACCACGACGGCGAACTCCCTGCTGCCGAATATGAGCCTCGTCCAAAATGAACCATGCCTGGCCAAAAGATTCTCTGCGTCGCAGAGAAGCCCGCGATAGCAAAGGCAGTTGCTCAACATCTGGCTGGCGGCCGGGTAACAACGCGCCCCGTCAACGGCAACCAGTATGTCAAGAATTACGAGTTTGACTTCCACTTCCAACAATGGGGCAACTGCTCCGTCACCATGACCAGCGTGCTGGGCCACCTGACTGGCTTAGACTTTGACCCAAAGTATAAAAGCTGGAAGTCGTGTCCTCCCAGTCAATTGTTCGAAGCCGAAACAAAAATTACCATCGACAGAGATAAGCAGTCCATTGCCGAAAACATTCAACGCCAGGCAGGCTCCGCCAGAGTCCTCTTCATTTGGACTGATTGTGACCGTGAAGGTGAACACATCGGCGGCGAAGTACGGGACCAAGCCAAGAAAGGTAACCCTGGCATTCTCGTGAAGCGAGCCAAGTTCAGCAATACCGAAAGAGCGTGAGTGTCTATGCCCTCTCTCGGCTTTTTGGATCTAACTTCTCTAGTCATGTTGTTCATGCGGCTCATTGTCCCATTGATATGGACGAGCGTCAAGTTAGTGCGGTTGCAGCCAGGATAGAGCTTGACCTGCGCATAGGTGCCGCTTTCACGCGGCTGCAGAGTCTCGAACTCCAACGCCTCAGCGACAACCTTCGAGATCAAACTATTTCCTATGGTTCCTGCCAATTCCCCACCCTGGGTTTCGTGGTTGATCGGTACAACCGGGTCAGGAACTTCAAGCCGGAGTCCTTCTGGCTGATCAAGTTAGTCCATGTGCGGAATAGGATCAAGGTGAACTTCAACTGGCGGAGGATCCATCTCTTCGATCGAGCGGCTGTAACCATCATATTTGAGGCCTGTCTTGACGCGAAACATGCCCAGGTCGCAAAAGTCCAGAAGAAGCCAACTTCGAAATGGAGACCGCTGCCTCTGACCACAGTGGAATTGCAAATGCAAGGCAGCCGCTTTCTGCGCATGACGAGTCAGCAAGTCATGTCGGTCGCCGAGAAGCTCTACCAAAAAGGTTTCATCAGCTATCCCCGAACCGAGACCGATCAATTCCCGCGAGAGTTCGATTTCAACGCCATAATTCAACGACAAGTTCAGGACAGCAGTTGGGGCCAGTATGCTCAGCGACTGCTAGACGGCGATTTCAGGTCTGCGCGATCTGGTCGTCACAACGACCAGGCGCATCCGCCAATCCATCCAGTCAACTACGTTGCCAGTGATGCTCTTGATGCCCAAGAGAAGAAGGTGTATGAGTTTGTCACCAGAAGATTTTTGGCGTGTTGTTCCGAAGACGCCAAGGGAGAGGCTACCGATATTGAAATCCTTTGGGGCTCGGAGACTTTTCACACCCATGGTCTGCTTGTGCTGGAGAGGAATTACCTTGACGTCTACGTTTATGACAAATGGGAAAGCAGCCAGCAGCTCCCTGACTTCACTCTTGGCGAGACCTTTGAGCCTTCAGAAGCAAACATGTTGGAAGGGAAGACTACGGCGCCCGGGTATCTCACCGAGCCTGAACTGATAGCTCTGATGGATGCAAATGGGATTGGGACAGACGCGACCATGGCCGAGCATATCGCCAAGATCAAGGATCGATCGTACGTCGACACGAGACGATCTGGAGGCGGTCGTAACTCAGTCCCGGAATTCATACCAACGACACTTGGAGTTGCGTTGATTGAAGGGTACGACAATGTCGGACTCGACGTCAGTGTCAGCAAACCATTTCTCCGCAAGGAGATGGAGCTGAAGATGAAGGCGATCTGTGAGGGCCGGAAAAGTCGGAATGAAGTTGTCCAAGAAAGCTTGGAGCAGTACCGTGAAGTCTTTGTCAAGACTCAACGTGAGATCCAAGTTTTGAAGGATGCAGTGACGAAATACGTCGTCAACGGGGGGTTGGAGTGAACATTATCACAGACGATTCAAAGCACGCAGCCCAGAGTCAGCCAGATGCCCTTCAGACACCCACCTTTGCCGCATCGACCGCTCACTGCACAACCGGACCTCGTGGGCTCTTCCAATGCCTTGCCGCTCGCCTTTCTCGCTTCCCCAGAATTTGAACGGAATGAAAACAACGTCAGCAAATCGGAGAATTTGACGCTACATCTGCCTCCTTGTCTGACGAACCTAATGATGGCGGCTATGACGCACAAATGACGCGAGCTAAACGCGTCTGAGTGTGGCTGCTGATTTTTCCAAACGTCCAATCATCACGAAGGTCTAGCCACACAACCCGCAAGGGGCCCTCGATTGGCACCTGCTGTCTCGCACCGGCTGCTTCAGGCAAGAGCGTCGTCGTAGGTCTGTCAGGCGTGATGCCTTATTTGCATGAATTTCCATTCTGAAATCGCTGGATTGGGAAGGGAATGCTGTATGTGACGCAATATGGCGACTTCCATAAACTGTTTCATACGTGATGGGTGGAAGGACCGATCAAAACATCGTGCCGCCTATATAAGACTGTATCCCAGCCTAAATTTTCCATTCCCCGTCATCATCCAGGACTACTCATACACTCAAACACGGATTAGACTTTCCCTGTATCATCATCCGAAAACAGTACCAAACTCAACCTTGATCATACCTTTGTTCTTATACAGACCCAAGCCACAATGTCGAATCTCATCAACAAGGCAAAAGACGCTTTTTCTGGCAACAAAGGCCACGATGCAACAACCGCAACTACCACTACTTCTGCTTATGGTACCACAGGAGCTGGTCCTCATGAATCTGCTGCCATGAACCACGTGGATCCCACCATGGACCTTCGAACCGGAACTTCAACCCACTCAGCTGGGCCACATTCTTCCAATCTCACCAACAAACTCGACCCCCGAGTAGACTCCGATCGGGATCATCGTACAAATCCAAACAGCAATGTCGGAGGATATGGAACTACCCATGCCACCACTGCGGGTCCTCACTCATCCAACCTTGCCAATAAACTCGACCCCCGTGTTGACAGCGACACTGACCACCGAGCAAATCCAAACAGTACGGTCGGAGGATATGGCCACTCAGGACGCGGAACAACCTCGACTGCCACCGCCGGTCCTCACGCTTCAAACCTTGCCAACAAAGTTGATCCTCGCATCGACAGTGACGTCAATCACCGCAACAATCCTGCTAGCCATGTTGGCGGTTATGGGAAGACTCAAGGGACAAATGGTGGTGCTGGGGTAACAGGCACAACTGGGACTATCGGTCATAGAACAAGTGGCGGTACGGCAGGTATACATGTTCACGACAGCAAGCTCCTCAACAAGCTGGATCCCAGGGTGAAGACCAGTGGATAATATTGGAAAAAAGAGGTTTCAAGATACCCCAGAGTGTTTGTCGCGTGGAATCAGAAGGGCGATGGGAGGTGGAACATGCATTGTAATGGAAGAATATTCTTATAGAGGCTTTCGGTCACCACAGTGACTCTTTTTGAACGCACTTATCGATAGCGTGCATCCTATACCCATATTTCCTTTTCCTGAAAGCATCGAGTTGGCATTATCATGTTGATGCAAGGCAGGCTTGCTGGGCATAAAGGTGGTGGCAATGAGAGCGGCCTTCCAAACCGGGCGACAAAAGCATTGATAACGACTATCATAGATTGAAAGAAAACAATGCCACTGCTTTATGCAAAGAGTGTGTCCCGTACATAACCACAGACATTTCTGACCGCGTCTTGATTGACAGTGTCATTGTCGAGAACATAGCAGACGGGAACATGTCGCTCAGCGGATGGTCTCGAGCGGCAAAGGGCATGTTTCTCAGGTCGTCTACAAGGTACATAGAGGCCTTGATTTATCGACTATTTGAGCTTTGATTAGACCGGCTTGGACGGAGGTTTCATACTGCAGAGGACCTTCGTCTCACTGGCTCTTCCGAGGGTGAAGATCGCACCCAGACAAAGAACGGAGTATCAGCCCTTTGCGAATATGCTGAGCGAGTCGCACAAAGGGGCTTCCTTGGATAAGACCATTGGACCAACAAGGAAGAAGACAGGACACCGCAAGAGGGAAACAGAGGCATGACTAACTCGACACTCATCGCAGCCGTGAGTGGCCCTTTACCGCATCGGGTTCTTGGTCGGAGTGTGAGCAACAGGGACATGCTGAGCTCAGCAGTCTCCAGGCCGACAAAGATGCTGCATTGGGGGTGAAGAGAGGCAAGGAAAGGGATCCGTTGTGGCAACCATGGTCTGGGGGAGATGCCCATTGGTGTCTCTTTAGGCTCCACCAAAAGATGCCCGTGGGCCATGGCAGTGTGTACTCGCTACCGCCTGCGGACCTTTCCTCCCAGACCAGGATCCAATGCCCATCGTCGAGCTTGGATACCATGGCACCGCGCCACGCAAGTTTCACCTTCTCCGTTATAATGTGGCCTGCCCTCACGGCGCTGCTTTTCGATCATCATTTGAAGTGGTAGCCTCCTGCGACTTTGGCAGCCACTTGACCATAGTCGAATCTCCTTCAATCCCACTGCTCTCCCTGTCCACTCGGCCCTCGAAGCCACGATGGCTACTCCTCCGACACAATCAGAACCATTTCCCTCCTACGTCCCGGACGAGGATGAAGAGCCCATCGAGAGGCCGGGCAATGGCACAAGGGACACAAGTCGGAGACCCTCAATCACCTCTCGTCTCTCCAAAGCCCCCTCCTCTATCCGGTCTCGCACGCGCACAGGTTCTTTGAGACAGTCCTTTCTCGAGAGCAACCCTCCTCTTGGCATGTGGCAGGCCACTGGCGAAATCGGCTCCAAAATCCCTACTTTGCCAGAGATCAGAAATGGCGCCTTCGCAGCAGAGGGATGGACCCACGAGGGCCAGATGGAACGTCGGGGGACGAACCCGCATGAAATCCACGCTCGAAGGGTGGCCAGGACAAGTTCTGCCAGTACGAGGACGAGAAAGAGCTCGCTCTCAGCGAATGCACCACCCTCCATTGCAGAGGAACGACACGAATTCTTTCCCAAGAGAGCACCGACCTTGGTGCCTGAACCGCTGTTTGAAGAGGCAGCGACTACTCAAGAACAGCCGGCTCATGGCCGGCCAGAACAAATCCAGCAAGTGGCAGGGTGAGCTTTTCCCTTCCCGATGTTCATTCCTACTACACACAGTCCACTAATATTATTTATCAACTTTAGCTCTGAGAAGCACACCGAGACGGCTGACTCTCAGGAAAGAGACTCCTCAATGACCCCTTCCAAAACAACAAGTGAACCACAAGCGGTGCGGATCCAGAGCGGTCCAGACGAGACAGGTACATATCCCAATGGCTACCGCTTCCCCAAGAAACACACCTGGGCCCAATCCACCATGATTGGTCTCCGCGCATTTTGGAAATTCTTCCTCACGCCCTTTGGCTTTATTGTCACCATCTACGGTCTCAACATTGTCGGGTGGGGCGCCATGATATTTTTCGTCCTCCTCAAGGCTGCCCCGGCCATGTGTCATCCTTCTTGCGACGACGACAGCAGCGCACGAGAGAAATGGATCGAAATCGATTCCCAGATCCTCAACGGCCTCTTCTGTGTGACCGCCTTTGGACTGTTACCGTGGCGAGCACGAGATTGGTTTTACCTCATGCGCTGGCGCATCGGGGGGAACGAACGCTTCCACCGACGTCTCGCAGGCATATACCGGGGCTGGTACCGTCTTCCCGGCTCCGATAAGCTCGAAGAACACATCGGCCCTCCTCCTGTGTACAACAAAAACCACCCACGAACTCCGGAAGCTCCTCCCCCTTACACTGAAGAAGAAATTGCAAAAATGGAAGAAAACCCTGCCATCCCTATCCCTGCAACGTCCATGCCCGAGCCGCCCCTTACAGGCATCCGCGCTCGTCCATCGAAATCTTGGACCATCGACTTCGTGGTGTGGATGTACATACTCAACACCTTTTTCCAAGTCCTCCTTTGCGTCTGGATGTGGCATTGGAACCGGTTCAATCGACCCTCATGGGGTACGGGCGTCTGGATCACTTTTGGTTGTCTAGTCGCTATTGCCGCGGGCCTGTGCGTCTTCATTGAAGGGTCGAAGGTAAAGAAGATTGAAGGTATTCCGGTGCAGGAATACGATGTCCTTGAATCAATCGAAGATTATCAGGAGAGAAAGGCCAAGGAGGATGCGAAACAAGCCAAGAAGATGGCCAGGCACGAGCACCATCGCCACTTCAGGCACGGAGAGAGCCACAAGGTAGTGAGATCAGAGAAGTTGAAGGGCCATCAGTGGTTCACCCGGCATTAGCATTTTGGGATGGGCTGTATAAAATTGAGCGTTCTGGTTCTCGTACATGGGCAGTCGAGGACAAGGTAAAGTACTTTAAATTCCTGGAGGTCTCAAGTTGGCACGACTGAAGGAGCGCTCTGGACTTGAAAGCCCCATTCAAAATCTTTCCCTGGCGATTGTTATGGTCGGATGGGAATGGGTGAGGCTCCCTGACTGTCGAAAAGCCCAGGAGCGAGTTTACCCGCGCTCACTATACGTAGGACTCTGATAGGTAATTTAAGTATAATCTTTGGTCGTTCACCCGCCTTCCTTCGCCCATACTTTCCCTCTGCTCTACTCTGTTCAGCTCTGCCCTTGTCTCGTCCCCTGTGTCCATTTCTCGTTCTCTGTATTCAGTCCCTCCAGTCAGCATTGGAGATATGTAACTTAGCAACACATCTATATAGAATGCAGGATTGTAGGTATGCTGTGTGCGTGTGCGTGCTCGCCGTGATGCGCCGCCGATGTTATGAGTCGCTGCGCTGGTGGATACCGTAACTCAGTGATTCCCTTCCTTTGTTTTTTTCCCTTTGTTTTCCACGGGAGTCTCAGAAGCCAAGAAGTACGAGCGCAGGAACGGGCACGCATTTCAAATGCTCGTAAATTGGCGCAGACTGAGTGCACAATGGTGATCAGTATGTCGCCCATCATCAGCTGCTGCATCTACAGATCTTGAATATTGCCTGCTTCTGCTCACTGTCCACAAGAAATTCCAATGGCCCTTGACCTTCTGTGTTTCGCGAGACGCTTTTTGTTCGTGTCGACCGGTCATTCGTTTCAGTTCCAAGCGGCACGGAGGAGTTTTGGCGTGCCGTGAAACCCGCAGAGATCTGCTGTCGCAAATGGGATCTATTGATCCCTGCATGGTCTTTCGTTGATTTCATCCATTTTGCCTGGGTTTCACCTCCCCTTCCTGCATGATGTAGTATACTACCGTGCCATCGCCCCCTCCGCCTTCGCGAGCACGCATGCCGAAGAGTACTCTTTTGGGGTCTTTGTGTTCGTACAACACACCAGCCTTGCGACCAGCTCTGCCAGTCCCGCTTACGGTTGCCGGGCCATCCAAAGTCTCCTCGGCCGTTACTGTTGAATCCTCATTGCCACTTCCATTCACATTGGCTCGCCTTTCTTCCTGGTCTCTGCTGCTCCCGGAAGGACGCCGTACCCTTACAATATCCCTCTCCGGCAGCTGGTCAAATATGCCACATAACTTAGCCAGGCTCAATTTCTCGCCCAGTGCTAATGGCAGCACAAATTCCCTTTGGATCGGTATTTCTGATTCCTTGACGTTGTGCTTGATGAGATAGGTCTGCAGATCCGGATGTAAGTAAGTATGCTGAGGAGGGAGGCCAGATATTATGGGAATTGGTCCACCAGGACTAGTGGCAAGTGGCGTGGACGGTTGCGGTGAGGAGTTTCCGTTACCCGTGGGAGTTGATGAGCCTGACCTGGAAGGTGAGGCCGATCTTGAAGAAGTATTAGAATGCACGAATTTCATCCCGTCCAAGTCCATCAGACCCGCAGGACCATGTTGAGCGGCAGGGATATTGATGGGGCAGATGAGATGGAGTCTCAGATCCGTCCACTCGTGCTGATATTGAAGGTTGTGCAGGACGGTGATGGCCAGAGACTCGGAGGCGGATTTGGCAGCTGAGCGATCGATGAGTGTTGAGATGGCCGAGGCGGTGGGTGGTGTCGACGTGGTGGTGGATGAGGCGGTCGACGAAGCCATGGCGCAAAGATGTGCTCAGATATTAGCTGCGGGTTTCTTCATGGCATGTTTAAGCCCCATCTACATATCACCATCACTACTGAGGTGGTTGAGTTGAGGTCGCAACTTTTCTATCAGGCGGCGAAACCTGCCGCGGCCCACCTTCCTCCTTCTCCTCCTTATTCCTCTCCTGCTTCTCCTTCCTGTGCTGCTTCACCAGACCGGCTGCTCAAGTCACGTCTCGTCGCACGTCTCGTCTCACACCTTTCACGGTTGTCCCATTCAGAGAAAGTTCCAGCAATTCTGCTGGTCATCCAAGAAAAGTTGCAGCAATTCGGCCGTCCGTGGTCCCACCACGGTGCGAGCGAGAAGTGTTTGAACAAGGGCCAAGGTACGTCTCAGACCCAGAAAGATTGAGAAGAAGATGATGGACAGATAGATGGAAGCTCGCGTGGCCATTTCTGGCTGTATCTTGGGTTTTGTCGTTGCCGATGCTTCGTCTCATCTTACAGCGCTTTTAATGCAAAGCATTCCCGTTACGAACCAGGCGGGGAAGCGGGTTTTGTCGGCCAGACTCTGATGGGAAGCGATCACACCACCTCCGTTGCATCCTGGTCTGCCGATGCGCGACTGGTGGACTCCTACGGGATATCATTCGGTTTATTGCAACAGCACACAGGCGCAATGTCCGTCGAAAGATGACCACAACTACCATGGACAATGAAACCTGGCTAGACAACTGGTGGAGTGACTTGATTCTATTCATCAGCCTGGGGAACAACGTGATTTTGCCTCGCCTATGGTGAACAGCGCACTCCACAATCACTTGGACAAAATGGTTGGTAGGTCAGCAAAATGCCTTGGATGCTCTTCAGCAAGGTATCTTCCTTTTCTTCTTTTGATTCTACGTGTTCAATCTTGTCCGTTGAGATCGTCCTCGCCTACAACCACCTATGTTTAGGGCATCAAACAATGAAATAACTCTCGGCCAACATGTCATCTAGCGGTGATCGCAGATTCGTCTTTGGTTCAACCACGAGTCCACAATCCAGTGGCTTTGGTGGGTTTGGCACCAGTACGCCTAGCGCAGGCAAGTATATGTACCTCTTCTCACCTTTCGCCGCGAGGATGTTCGAGTCCGAGTCCTTTGTCTTATCCATTTGGACGTTAAATGGCTCTGAACTTGAAGCTGTATCCATTTATGTCTCGTCGACACGTGCAGATCAAGCTTTGGGACCACTCTTACAGGCAATTTCCCATGAAGATCCCCTCGGATATTAAGGCTGATACTTTAAGTGACAACAGGTCTTCAACCGACCACCCAACCCCCAGCCCAATTTGGATCCAGTTTCTCGACCACAACCCCTAGTCTGTTTGGCAATATTGGCGGTAGCACTGGCGGACTAGCGTCACCTTCAGCAAGCGGATTCGGAGCTCCTTCAACAAGCGGATTTGGAACTCCTTCGGCCAGCGGATTTGGGACTGCTTCGACAAGCGGATTCGGGACTATATCAGCACCGCTATTCAAGCAAGATGTCTCAGGAACATCCGGGACTTTGGGCACTCCAGGCGCCTTTGGGTTTGGAAAGGCTTTGAAAGCCCCAACAATCCCCATGTCCAATGGCACCGCTATTCCTTCTTTTACTCCAACTGTACAGAGAGACGACGTAGGTTCAAACTGCAGGTATCAGAGCATCAGTTTCATGCCTCCATATTCCAACTTCTCCTTCGAGGAACTCAGGTTAGCAGACTACAATGCTGGACGTCGGTATGCTACGCCCGCAACATCTCTAGGAGGCTTTGGCTCGAATCTTTTCAGAGGATTTGGTACGGGCGTCGGCACAGGCTTTGCTGCCCCAGCTACAACAACGTCCGCGACCTCTCTCTTTGGTACTACCGGTGCTACCTCCGCAGGTTTCTCTTCGAAACCTAGTTTGTTTGGCACTCCTCAGAGCACTACCAGCCCTTTTGGCACCACAAGCCCTTTTGGCACCACAAGCCCTTTTGGCACTACAAGCCCTTTTGGCACTACAAGCTTCCCCAGTTCGCCGTCTCCCTTTAAAGGTCTCACAACTACAGCAACAACTTCAGGCCAGGGTTTGTTTGGAAGCACCGCTACATCAAGTGCACCTGGCTTTGGCAGTGCGGGTGCCCAACAGCGAGTGTTTCAGCCTTTCGGCGGTGGAATGGGAGGACTCGGGGCGTCAGCAACCCAGATTCAACCTTCTGTTGGTGCCTTTGGAGGTGTGACCACAGGTAGCACGGGTACACCATTTCAATTTCCCGCAAGTTCCAGTACCTCTCTCTTTGGAAAGCCTGCCTTCGGGGGAACTCAAGGAACAAGCGGGCCTTCTGGAGGAGGTATCTTTGGCGGTGTTGGAACCAGTGCGAGCGGTCTCCCTCCTGTAGGGAATGCACCATCCTATCCTCAACAACCATCGGGCGGGTCCTTTGGAACATCTCCCTGGGGTGTTTCTAGCCAATCAACTGCAACTGCGCCCGGTTCATTCTTACCAGTTGTGACTCAAAGTACAGTTCAGCAACCATTTGGTGCCACGAAACTGTTCGGCGGACTTGGTGGTACTTCGCAAATCAGTCAACCAGCTGCTCAGCCGATGCCCGACTTCAAGGTGTCGTCGCTAAACGACCCTAATCCTTACGGTCAATCGTCGCTGTGGACAGGACTGCATTTGAAGCCGTCGGACAGGTTCGAGCCGCTCTTTACTCCCCTAGCTGCCATTGAGAAGATGAAAGAGAGTCAATCGAAGCAACCCGCTGCCAAACCGCCTGCTAAGGCATTCTACATGACCCCTACCAGACATGCCGGTCTAGGCGTTCGCCCATTGGGCAAGACTATCGAAAGCAAAGCTCTGCGACGTCGTTTTGCAGCTGATGGTGATACTGTCCTTCCTCTCAACTCATTTGATTCGTCCCGAAGACGATGGTCTAGCGGCGACATGCAGCGACTGACCATAGACCCAAATATAAGACAAGATCTGTTTCGTCGTCAGTCTTTGTCACCGGAGCCTCTGTCTCAGGTGGAAAAAACGGCCGCTTCTGTTAACTCTGAGATCGATTCAGAGAAAGAAAAGCCGCTGACGGAACAAATGGGTCCCAGGGAAGAAATCAAATCCACTGGAGATTCGACCGAGCAACGACCCTACAAGTCAAAAAGCGAAACCAAATCTGGAATCGGCACTGGATCAGACACATCAGGCGCCCGTGCTTTGGGGGGAGAATTTGAATTTATTTCAGAAACTGGAGATAGTTTGCCCGATATGGTCACCAAGGGTCGTGCAGCCGGTCAATTAATAGAAAAGAGAGTGGCCCCAGAACCTACACCTGACCTCCATCCTGGGAAATACTGGATGAAGCCGAACCCAGACGAGCTTCACAAAATGCCAGCTGACAAGCTTCAGCGGTTCACAGGATTTGTCGTTGGTCGAAAAGGGTGTGGTCGAGTCACTTTCGACGGTCCTGTTGACCTTACCGCTTTACCAATGGATAACCTTTACGATGAGATTATCAGAATTCGACCGCGATCAATCACTGTATACCCAGATGAAAGTTCCAAGCCACCGCCTGGACAAGGCTTGAACGTCCCTGCGACTCTCTGCATTGAAAATTCCTGGCCTCGTGCCGAAGGCAAACCATCAGCAGCAGCAGCAATAAGTGGTCCCCACGTCGAAACCCATATCAACAGGCTCAAGGAAATGAAGGGTACCCAATTCGTCGATTATGAGGTGCCTACAGGTACTTGGACGTTCAAGGTTCCCCACTTCACTGACTACTACGATCCGGATTTCGTTGAACGGAATGAGTTGCTCTAACCGGCCCGCTAACAAATTGGTCACTTCATCGATTAACTACCGAGTACGATGCGAGGAATTTCCGCTGTGAAGCAATAAGCCCGCGGGATGGGAGAGTCTTCATGTTTCATGAACAATAATCTGAAAGTTGTGGTTCGGGAATCCATTTCTTTGTCAGCTTTTCATACTCGATTGGTACGAACATCGAGAAATGCGAGTGCAGGGCAGATACTTGTAAGGAACGATTCAGCTACTCAGCATCGCTATCATGTCGCATTGAAATTCGGCTACCACTCTGACCGATGATTGAGGCTTGACTGTTCACCAGAAGGGCCGCATTGAGCTAAACTTCTGCACATGTCCAAGTCGGTTTCTCATTGATGACGCACTTCCGCTACCGAGAGACATGTGAACCTACTTGGTAGTGCAGGACAATATTTACTAGATTGCGGGACGTGGACGGTAAATACTGTCATTCGAGAAATGGCGTGATAAAAAATTAAGTACGAAGGATGGATAGTTCTGGCTTTTTCGAAAAGTGTTTTGGCCCTGAATGGCACATCCAACAAGGACATGCCGTCCAGACATCTACCTGTTGTAATAAGGACTTATTACCCTTTCACATGATTATTTTGAATCAGGGTAATGATTCTTGTTGATCTCTTGTAGCGTGGCGTCAGCCGTGTCTCGTTCGAAGTGGTCTAGCGAGTTCGATCAGGGGATTTTGACCAAAGGCCGGTGTGAAGCATATCTCGTGATACATGAACCGTCAGAGTGTTTCCCAAAGAGCCATGCATTATGCGCGGTACAAGTACATCCACTCCGGAAGGGAGAAGAAGTAAAGGCCAAGTCAACAAATCACTGACATCTATCTCTCCAACAGTCTATTCAGAAGAGGGAATTTATCGGTTTTCTTACCTTTTTCCTAACTTCGATATTCTCGAAGTCAAAATAAATAGTCAGTTCGATGTCTACACTCAGCAAGCACCTACGAAAGACGGCAAAACCTCTACCGCCGATCAACAGCAGCTCGTTTTCCGAATATTTTGACTGGCTAGGACAATACGACTTTGTGCTGATCGGCGACGGCAGCCATGGCACGTCCGAGTTCTATCAAGCTCGTGCGGAAATCACAAAGCGGCTCATAACGCACCACGGGTTCAAAGTCGTGGCGCTCGAAGCGGATTGGCCTGACGCTGAGGCCATCGACCATTACGTCCGCTGCTGGCCAAGATATGCTGGCATGTCGGAACCCATGGAGAGCCCGTTCAAGCGGTTCCCCACCTGGATGTGGCGCAATATCGAAATGCAAAGCTTTGTTCGTTGGATGCGTGAGTATAACGACTCGCTCCGAGTGGGAGAAGACAAGGCTGGGATATATGGCTTGGACCTGTATTCCTTAGGAGCTTCTATGAATGCAGTGGTCAACTATTTGAAAGACATCGACCCTGAAATGGCCAAAGAAGCCAAACAGAGATATGGCAGACTGCAGCGCTGGGTCGGAAAAGAGCAGCAGTACGGATTGGAGGTGAAAAGCGCCGGACTCAAGTCTTGCGAGTCGGACGTCTTAGCGATGCTCATCGAGCTCCTCAAGAAGAGGCTCGAGTATTCTTCCAAGATTCACGACGGCCAACGCTTCCATAGCGCCGAACAAAACGCAGCGTTGATCGTCGACGCCGAAGAATACTACCGCAAAATGTACTACGCCGACGAAATCACCTGGAACCTCCGAGACCTGCACATGTTTGGCACTCTGAAACGTCTGATGGATTTCAAGAAACGAAAGGTCGTTATTTGGGCGCACAACAGCCACCTCGGCGATGCGAGGCAGACCGAGATGGGGATGCAACGGGGCGAGATCAACCTGGGCCAGCTGTGCAGGCAGCATTTACAGAATGTGGTCCTCGTAGGATGCGGGACTCATGACGGCGCCGTGGCAGCGGCCAAGGAATGGGGCGGAGAGATGGAGATCATGGCAGTCAACCCATCCCGCGAAGACAGCTGGGAGAGGGTCGCCCACGATACGGGCCTTCCTAGGTTCCTAATCGACCTGCGGAAGGGACATTGCGACTGCAGGCTCCGACAAGAGCTGAAGGCGAACAAGCTCGAGCGCTTCATCGGCGTCATCTACCAGCCCGACACGGAGCGGTGGAGCCACTACAGCGGCTCCAAGCTGGCGAAACAGTTCGACGGCTACCTTTTCTTCGACAGCACCCACGCCGTTACGCCGCTGGACAAGAAGCAGCCCCTGACTCCGGTCGGCGAGGCCGAGACGTATCCATTCGGCGTTTGACAGAGCCTTCGCGACGGGGGTTGAAGTAATGGTCCGGGGCGTTAAATTCTCTATCTGCATATTCTATGATGGAACGCTAGCCCATGAACACAGAAGATTGGGTGCGCGTGTTGCGTCGTAGACCTGTCTTCCGTCATCAGGTTGGGCTTCCTCCTTTGTGTTTCAGCCTCGCCGGGGGCCTCACATCCTCAACCCGACCCACCTTATGGCATGTACAATATAATATAATGCGAACATGGCAGGTCGTCGGAGTCGAAGATGGTCGTATTACCATTCTCAAACCTGAACGAATAGCCAAATGTGCAGTTTCGAAACCTGAATGTTCTGGAGCAACACCTTCATCAAGGGCGTCGTCGGACAGTCTCATGAATATAGTTGATTAAGATTTCAAAAGCAGCTATGCCCACAGATTCTCTGTGCTCTCTGTAGTGGTGTCTCTCCTAGATATGGCGCCTTGGAGCCTTTTGTACATCTTCATTAGATAGATATACACTGTGCAGGGTATCTGAAATCAATCATCGCTCGCTTGGACACTGCCCCCTTCCAAAACTCCTGGATTTCTCCCAACACTCGTTTCTCAAACCGTTTCAGTAAACCAGGTCAGCTGTACACCCCCACCACGAGAGCGTTAACCACATGCCCTTCTTTCCAGCCTTGATCTAGCAAGGTGAGCTTTTCGTCCAAAATCTTACCAAGGTATGCAATCCGTATCTTGGCTATGCTGGGGACCTGTCTGACACGTTAGCGAATCTATTAAGGGGCCGCCTTCTGAAGTTCTCACATCTGTTTCATCCCGGATCCTCTGAGCCAGAGCGCTCACCCTCTGGCTTCTGCCGAGCAGAACAACCACATCGGGATCCCCACGATCGCTAAGCCGGCATCTGACTTTAACGGCATCCTTTGGGACGGGCGCTTTACCCTTGACTTCTTTGGCCTTTTCCTCATTAGAGCTATCCTTGCTCCCGCCCAGATTGCCGCGCTCTGCTGCCTCTAATTTGGCCGCAATAGCATCGATATCACTAGTGCCTGTGACTGTTTGGGAATCCATGTCTGTGTTATCCTCGATAACGTCGGTCGGATCTGAGATGACTGCCTGGGGTATTTTATACAGATTTCCATGTTCATCGTAAGCCCCTTCCTCCAGCTTTCCCGTCGGGAGAGTGACAGACAGGGCATCTAGTATTCCCTGGGCGTCGGCCAGATCACCTTCATGCAGACATTGAATCACCTGCTTCAAGCCATTCCATATATCGGGGCTCCCAGTGACACGGGTCTCGAAGAACTCATACCTCTCTCTCTGTAACTGAGAGTGAGTCCAGGTTCTGTCTTTGCTCCTCCACGGCTTTGGTGGCTGAAGAGGAAGATTGTAATGGTCGGCTAGAGACAATTGTCGGTGCTGGCGTGATCTTGTAGTCTGGTTGACCGAGTCTCTAGGAGTAGAGAGGGCTGACCTGGATGTTTCACTGTGATGGATGGACAGACCAGAAGGAGCCCCGAAATTGCGGGAGTCCGGGTCGTGAGATGCACCATTAATGGCAGTTTGGGATGTTATGGCCTGAGGAGAGTGTCGAGTCTGAGGAGGGGCACGTGGGTGTCCATGGTCTGGATCACGCGAGTCTGTCGGTCTCGATGCACAGCAACCCTAGAGAACCAGGAACATCAGCCATTGAGCACTTCGAGGAGCAGGGACGGAGCATGAAATGTCTGGGGGAGCAGAGGTGCTGCAATACCATGGTGCAGGTCAATTCATATCTGTCCCTGGCCCGGTCGTCAAATGATCTGAGGTGTCGAGCTGGGAGTCGTAAGTGTCATCTGCGCCGATTTCACAGGAAATGGAATGGGGTACAGCAAGATGGTCGGACAGCAACATAAAAGAAGACGCAAGGCCGCAAACAAACACACAACCAGCAGCGAGTGGCTTGAGATAGTAGAGCGCAGATACCATAGATGCAAACGATGAGGGGGGGAATAATGGTGGTATATGTACGGAGTCCTGCGACGGCGGTGGCCAGATGCAGGACTGAACGTTGTCTACTGAGTTGGTGAGTGCGGCAAATCGACGGTGGACATACCTAAGAACAAGCAAGGCATTATGGGGCCGTTTACCTAACCAATCTTTAACCGTAAGTGGGTATGGAGCCTGCAACGGGTGTGTATTTAGCACCTGGGCCTTGGAACTTGGGTGTTGACAACGCGGAGAAGGCGCTGGCGCCGAGCAGGGTTCAGAGGCGCACCCCCCAAAATCCCAGAAGTCCAGATCGATCGGGCTAGCGAAACCCCTCGGGTTAGGGGTTTCCCTGGGAGCTTCCCCTCCCTCCTCCCACCCCTTTGCACCCCCATAACACCCCCCCAAATATAATCCTAATGGCGGCCCCCCCCCCCAAAAGCCTCGGTGTTTCTCCTTGGTGTCCACCGAGGACGTCCGTGGTTCTACGAGGTACATAATAATATTTCCTGGTGATCCTATCTGGATTCATGCATCATGCACGCTGCTGGGCCTCCAGGTTAATTGTCATCACGCCTCGACTAGTCGCGCGACTAGCTAGCTGAAGCGGCCTGTGCCATGTGCATCCTTTCCTCCCTCAGCCTCTGAAAAATCAAGCTTCTTGTCCCTGCACGGTGACGGACCAGTCTGGTCAGTCTCACATGTCCGTTCGTTCCTGAGGTCTGCTAACTGAGTTCTGAAGAATGGACGAGTCCGAACAAGAAGCGGATTATGCTTCTCCTCTCCCACACAAGCATGCGACCGGACTTGGCTAGTTCTCATGTTCGTGATGTGGCCGTTATCAAAATTCTATCCATCCAGCAAAAAGAAAACGAGACGCCAGCAGTATGATCATCTACAAATGTAAAGTATACACAAGAACGCGTATTGGATCCTCCTCCAACGATCTGGGGAAAAAACCGGCTGAATTCATCTTTCAGCGGAACTCAATTGCAGGACAGACGCCCATTCTCCAAATACCTGGCTGTCCCTCGTGCTTCAACTCGAGCTGTTGGTACCTGTTGCTGGATCATTAGCCATCAGCTATCCTGGAGCAAGGAGGCCAATGGAGGACATACTTCTCACTTTTGGAGTGGAAATAGATCCCACTTACTCTCCCCTCGATCTGATTAAAACAGATATAGTAGAACCCTTCAAAACTGGCTCCCTGAATGGACTTCAGCTTGTAGTCTGGCACCAGGAAATGCTCCTTCCACCTCATGAAGATGTAATCTTGCTGCCACCAATTCTCGTGGTTCATGGGATACACAAAGTTGATGTTGCGCTTAGCGTGCAGACTGAGCGGTCGCCATGCAGGAAACCTGGCCCAATGCGTAAGGTCCGTCTTGTCGCTCGCGCCCCAAGCGGGATCCCGGGTTCTGAAGCTATACTTCTGGTTTGGTCCGCCGATGATCTCGCCAGTGAAGAAGGTGGTCAGCGTTGGATGGTCCGGTGTCAGGCCACAGATTTGAAGGTATCCCGACATGCTGCATTGTTCGATGTCCACGGTCAAAATGGTCACTTCAACGTTGTAGATCTGTCGGTCCGACTGCTGGGTGCCTTTGAATTTGGAATAGGGTTGAAACGTTGCCGAGGGATATTGCGGTCGAAGTCGCCGTTGAGAGAAGTCCCATTCTTTCAGATCATTGTGCGACCAGTCGAGTTCTTGGTCGATCGATGGGATCCCGGCATTGTCTCCAACACCAGGAAAGCCTCTAGTCCGGTTGTTTGTACACGATGTCAGCGAAGACGGGGAGATGCCCGGGTCGCCTGCGCCGTTTTCCGATCCTGTCTCATTCGCCGTGATTCTCATGTCAGATATATGTTGTCTAGCATTGCCTTGGCCGATGACGTGCGTGGTTGCTACTGCGTCAAATCGTCCTGTCTGCCGCTCGCCATCGTTCTCGATGCGTTCGCTTAAGCCTATGTCATCATCGACACTATCTATCATAGGTGTCTCGCCGGCGCCCTCGGAATGAAGCTTCTCCTCGAAACCTGGCGGGGTGGTATACATAGTCTCCTCTTGCATCCGTGCCATGCCGGCAGCGGTGTTGTCGCTGACAGGCCGCCGGTCGACTTCATCTCCGCCCGCAAGTGCCTGCTGCGCGACTAGACGCCTCGAGTCCTCATCTGCGTCGATTTCTGGAGGTGGGGTCAATGGAGCCGGACACGCGACATTGAGTTGGGCTATCTCGGAGTCGGGGAGACCAAACGACGTATCGGGCGCATGGGTTGGCATTGAAAGGCGAGGGACCGCAAGGTTATCATATGGAGAGAGTGTGATGGAAATGGCGGAGCGGTGGGAGAGGGGCGCCGAGTGATGGAATGGCCAGGAAAATCGCAGGAGAAGGGAATATAACCCCTTCGTCAGAGCACGAGATACATGAGAGTAGAATGATGAGATGCACACTGGACGGCGAGACGGGTGGATGGCAGAGGCACCAGAAGGACTCTAGTCGATTGGAGCTGGAGACGGACATGCTTGAGTCGAGTCCATCGTGACCCAATTTTTGTTGAACTAACAACTTCCCGCCCCGGTTTTCGGAGGTTCCTCGCCTTTTGCGGGGTACACAGCACACAAGGTATACTCAGCAAGTCGCGGGCCTACCATCACCAAATTGCCACAGACCGGCTCGTTCCTGCTAGATGCCCTGTGTTCCAACATGACCTGGCCGATCAGTGGTGATCGGCGTCCGACCTCGATGTTGTGGGCAACTAACTCTTTACGGCTGTCGCCAACCACCACGCCCGGAAGAAATTGCAACAGGTCCTCTGCTAGACCAAGATTTCTTTCCTGGCCAAATATCAAGGACATATGATGCAACTGATACTGGTACTGGCGCTCCTTTGACTCCCATGGTAGAGTCTAGTCCTTGCAAGGTATTGAAGATGAGGGGCCGCAGGCCGGTTGATTTTAGATGGGTTTGATCTGCCGTCCATCTGCTTAGCATCTCTTTTCACTCCCCGTGAATACCAGCTTACCTTGAAGTGGAGAGATATCAGGGAGAACACCAAAGCTTTGAGATCCTGCACTAAATAGTAGAACACTCGCAGCCCTTCTGGGTCGGCCGAATCTGTCACGTCTCCGAGCGAGCCAATTTTCGCAGTCTGCCCACCATCAGTCAAGTCGCAATCAACATGTAAGGTCTCACACACCTCAAACTGGATGTGCTCGTTTCCCAATCTGATCTCAAGCTCTTGTCTTCCGTCTTTGTTCTTCTGTGGCCACCGCGAATCATCCTCCTTCGTGATCTCGCTGTCTTTGATGATCCGCTTGATCTCTGAAACAAGGAGGGAGCTGACACACACTGGAAATATGTCAGTATCCACACACGGTCCAAAAGCCCAGTACTGACTCTCTTTGCGAATGAGGGAATCGTTGCGGTAGTTGGAGTTGTTTGCATATCTCGCTATTGCGCTTCGACCGTCTCCAATGACTCTGAAGTCAAATTCTGGCTAGCCGTCAGTGAAAGCGTGTCTGGCAGGCTGGAGCTCTTCCCACCTAGAAATTCATGGCCGAATCTGCCAGAATGGCCAGAGCTGCCCATGGTCAGTATTCTCTGGGAGAAGGCAGGCAAGGGATCAAGCCCATACTAGTATCGCACGTAGAATGGCTCATTCAAATCCTTCAAGTTCGGCATGGTGGAAGTATAGGTTGTTGAGAATGAGGCGTTAAGGTATGCGAGGGTCAAGCGCCGTTGATGGTGGCCTTTGAGTGTCGAGCCTAGATGTTGGACATTGCCCGCTCTGAGTCGAGGCCGCGCTATCGCGCTCTCAAAAACCGCCGCCGCCAAGAGAGAAATCTACAAAGTTCCTGAGACTTCACCTCGTTTGGGCAACTATATGATGCCGCCCTATTTCTCACCCTCTTGAGGGTTAGAGAAATTAGCGCCTTGGCGTAAGTCGGCACGACAATGTGGACAAGTCTCTAGGCAGCGTTAGTAAGTAAAGACCTGTTTCGGGAAGCAACGAGATCGATGAATACCGAGCAAGACGAGTGTCATTACGGAACTGAGATTACCGAATAACTAACTAGCCGGGGAGGCGGTGCCGCTCTCCACAATTGTTGACTTTCTCCCCGAGCTGTGGACGCAAGTTGCTGATATGCATGCTCTTGAAATATATGTATGTTCTAGGGCTCCAACACCTACTAAACCGGACGAATACTTCGTATTTGCTGGACTTTGGTGAATTGAACTCTTCCTTTCGGCGAATCTACCCAATTTAGTGGTTCAGACCACTGTGATAGGCTTCCGAGAGGCATCTGGGAATTCTATGTTGCGCATTGGATACAACGTCGGCTCTTCTTTTGAATCGGATCTATCCACAGTCTTGCTGCCATGCCTCCCGTAAGGTGCAACTTTGCCTCAGCCCTCTATGACCGCATGGTACCTCTTGCAATGGGCGAGGTGCAGCCAGCAGGTCTGTCGGTAAACTTCATCGACGTTCATCACCCGCGCGATATCTTCGACCGGATGATAGCAAATCAGGAGTTCGATGCCTCAGAGCTGTCTAGTTCGGAATATATCACCCGCCATGTTGCTGGAGATCGCACTTTCATCGCCCTACCAGTTTTCCCCTCTCGGGTTTTCCGGCACAGTTTTATCGTCGTGAATAAAGACAGGATCAAGGAGCCCAAGGATTTGAATGGTAAGAGGATTGGTGTACAATTGTACACAATGACTGCTGCCGTGTTCATCCGAGGTCTACTTCAACATGAATACGGCGTGGACATATCGTCCATTGAATGGGTGGAAGGTAAAATGGAGGGACCGGGCTCTCACGGCAAACCCTCCGCCCTGAAGCCCCTCAAGCCGATTAATATTACGCAAAACACCGATCCCACCAAGTCTCTCTCCGATCTCCTCGAGGCAGGCGAGATTGACGCCACAATCGGAGCTGACATCCCAGCCTGCCTTGGCAAAGCACCACACATCGACCGTCTCTTCCCCGACTTTAAAAAAGTGGAAATGGACTACTACAAGCGCACCGGCATCTTTCCGATCATGCATCTGGTGGCCATGCGTCGGGATTACTATGATCAAAACAGATTCGCGGCATCCGCCTTGTTCAACGCCCTGGACGACAGCAAGGAACTGGCGAGAAAGCGGATGGAGAGTACGGGTGCATTAAGATACATGCTTCCATGGCTACCCCAGGAACTTGATGAGATCCATGAGGTATTTGGAGAGGATTGCTGGCCTTACGGCATCGAGGAGAACCGGAAGACCTTGGAGGCGTTGGTGCAGTATCTTCATGACCAGTCGATGATTGAGAGGAAGGTACCCATTGAGGAGCTGTTTGCCCCAGTGAGGAAGATCAACTTTAGGATAGGCTGACAGAGATGAAGAGGGCAATATAACTTGATTACGAAAGTTTGAATTGTCGCCAACTGGTTCGCATGTTGAGAGCTGTGGGATATTATATTCCCCGTTTCAGCCTTGTCCTTCTTCAGTGGCCAGTCCCTCAATGGGCTTCGGTCGGGTTTTCCAGCCGGGGAGACTTGGTCCGGGGAGATGATTTGCTATCTCCTTTTCCCCGCACATATTACTCCCCGTGACTGCCCCGGAACTGTTGCTGTCTCCCTCCTGTTCCCCAGACATTAGTTCCTATTGTTAGGGCCATTTATTCAACACCCCGGCCTTGCTCACATCCAGACAGTGCTGGAAGCTCGAAACTGCATTCGAGCCGGCTGCTGGCGTTAGGGCCGTTGGAGCCATGGCGTCGCGAAGCGGAACAGGGTGATAAATAAGATCAACGACTTTCGTCAAATTGTGTGAATCTTTCCCGCCCTCTTTGCTCTAAATCTCTTTTACTTTCGGAGTGCAAGGTCGGACTGGCTGCTTGCCAATAGTTTGGTTGGACCCCTGTATATTACGGTCCCCTTTTTCAACTGTCCAGACTCATCTACTTTGGGGCCCGTGCTTGAGAGTCGCTGTGGAACAGTGTCGCCATGGCCGCTGAAGTACTCAGCCAGGAGAAAAATTTGCGAGTCCTGTCGCATGTCGAGGACAATGATGGCCTTGATATTGAGCTTGAGAAACGTGGCGAGATCCCGGGACTGAAGCTTGATGAGCATGGCCTCCCTCTGGTGCCTCAACCGACTGATCACAAGGCTGATCCTCTGGTATGTCTCGACTTCACCAAACCAAGCCTCTGGCGTTGACTTAAGAACCAGAACTGGCCGAAGTGGTACAAGTACTACGTGCTGTCCCTGCTGTGTCTCCTCGCCTTCTGTGTCCAGTGTGAGTGTCGCTGCTGTTGAGCCAGCTGGTAGGAGATGGTGCTGACGCAGCCACAGTCGGAGCTGGCATGGTTCCTGCAGCATTCGGAGTGATTGCGAAAGACTTCAAAGTTACGCACCAACAAGCCAGCTACTTGACGACATCCTATACGCTCTTTGGTGGTATCACTCCTCTTCTGTTGACGCCGTATGTCAATATGTATGGTCGAAGACCTGCTTATCTGGTGCGGAATTCTTCAATCCTGCGCCGTGAACGAGGCCCATCTGATGATCGCCGCAGATCTTCACTCTAATTGCCATAGGTGCAAATGTTGGATCAGGATACGCTTCAACCTATGCTCGCGAGGTCGTCAGTCGATGTTTCGTCGGTATTGGTGCTAGCGTCGCTTTGGCCATTGGTGGCGCTACCGTAAGCAATAGTGCAATTACAACTTTACTCTAGGCATGAGATTAACGCTCTTCAGATTTGCGACATGTTCTTTCAAGGCGAACGTGGAAAGTACATGGGCTTTTACGCTCTCGCGGTCACGAATGGGGTGAGTAGAACATAGAACCAGACAGCATCTCAGCCAGCTGACAATTCTATAGCCACACTTTGGTCCCATTGCCGGCGGTTATATCGCACTGAATCTGGGGTGGAGATGGATCTTCTTCGTACGTTCCACGACCGTCAACCATATCCTGTCATAATGACTGACCGCTTTTAGATCAACGCCATTATTTTCGGTGCCGTGCTAGCCATCTTCCTTGTCTCCTTCCCTGAGACGCTCTTCTCCCGGACAGACTTTAGCAAACTAGAGAATCAAACCTACTGGCACAAGATGGCGTTCCGTGGAAAGGTCTTAGACCGTAAGCTGACTCTGTCCGACTTCTCTGCCAACTTCAAGATGCTCAAATACGTTGCGATTACGATTCCTTGCATCTACTACATGACGACCAACACCTATGGCTCAATCGTTTTCGTGCTCACCGCATCTTCCATCAGCGAGAAGCTC